TTGCTCATCCATGTCTTTATGGACCTTGCTTTGTGCACTGGTGCTCAGTCATGTTGGCACAGGAAGGGGCCATCCCCAAACTCTTCCTACAAATTCGGAGCATGAAATTGTCCATAATGTCTTGGTATGCTGATGCTTTAAGAGTTCCCTTCACTGGAACTAAGGGGCCAAGCCCAACCCCTGAAAAACATCCCCACACCATAATTCCCCCTTCACCAAACTTTACACTTGGCACAATGCAGTCATGCAAGTACCGTTCTCCTGGCAATCTTCAAGCCCAGGCACGTTCATTGCCAGACAGTGGAGCGTGATTCGTCACTCCAGAGGATGCGTTTCCACTGCTCCAGAGTCCAGTGGCAGCGTGCTTTACACCACTGCATCCAACACTTTGCATTGCACTTGGGGATGTAAGGTTTAGATGCAGCTGCTCTGCCATGGAAACCCATTCTATGAAGCTCTACTCCCTGTTGTGCTAATCTGAAGGCCACATGAAGTTTGGAGGTCTTTAGCTATTGACTCTGCTGCCAGTTGGCGACTTCTGTGCACTGTGCACTTCAGCATGCGCTGAACCCGCTCTGTCATTTTATGTGGCCTATCACTTTGTGGCTGAGTTGCTGTTGTTCCCAGTTACTTTCACTTTGTTATAAGACCACTAACCGTTAACCATGAAATATTTAGTAGCAAGGAAATTTCACAGATGGACTTTTTGTACAGGTGGCAACCTATCACGGTACCACGCTTGAATTCACTGAGCTGAGAGTAACCCATTCTTTCACAAATGTTTGTAGAAGCAGTATGCATGCCTAGGTAATTGATTTTACACATGTGGGCATGGAGGTGATTGGAACACTTGAATTCAATGAGTTGGAGGGGTTTCTCAATACTTTTGCCAATATAGTGTATGAACGTATGCAAAGTGACACATAGGGGCTGATTTACTAAGAATAAGGTGCCGCAATAGATGTTAGACACCAAATTTCACCTAATTGAAAACAATTAAGACCTTGCCGTGGTGAACGTAAAAACGACTTCAAAAAGGAAAATTACTTTTGGTAAATGTCGAATGGGCATAGTCGCGTTTACATAACAGGCATTGCAAAACTTGGTCCCTAGAGGGCGTAGTAGCCCAGGATTAAGCCATGATCGTGTGTGTGTGTGTCTGTCTAATGTTAAACATATATCTAACAATTACAGTTATGTCCCTATTTATACAGTGCCTTGAAGTATTCCTACCCCTTGAAATTTTCCATTTTGTCATGTTACAACCAAAAACGTAAATGTATTTTATTGGAATTTTATGTGGTACATAATTGTGAAGTGGAAGGAAAATGATGGTTTTCAATTTTTTTTTACAAATCTCTGAAAAGTGTGGCGTGCATTTGTATTCAGCCCCCCGGGAGTCAATACTTTTTATAGAACCACCTTTCACTGCAATTACAGCTGCAAGACTTTTTGGTTATGTCTCTACCAGCTTTGCACATCTAGAGAGGGACATTTCTGCCCATCCTTCTTTACAGAATAGCTCAAGCTCTGTCAGATTGGATGGAGAGCGTCTGTGTACAGCAATTTTCATGTTTTGCCACAGATTCTCAATTGGATTTAGGTCTGGACTTTGACTGGGCCATTCTAACACATGAATATGCTTTGATCTAAACCATTCCATTGTAGGAATGGCTGTATGTTTAGGGTCGTTGTCCTGTTGGAAGGTGAATTTCCACCCCAGTCTCAAGTCTTTTGCAGACTCTTAACAGGTTTTCTTCTAAGATTGCCCTGTATTTGGCTCCATCCATCTTCTCATAAATTCTGACCCGCTTCCCTGTCCCTGAAGAAGAAAAGCATCCCAACAAGATGATGCTGCCACCACCATGTTGCACGGTGGGGATGGTGTGTTCAGGGTGATGTGCTGTGTTAGTGTTCTGGGCCCCCCCAACACACATTATTGCCTACAAATTCTGTGGGTTGTTAGGAGACAGCACCTGCTGGCATCATAACAACCAACGATTCCCCGATGGCAGCAGAATGAAAAACGCATAGCCAACATGTACCAAAAGAGCATGGACCCTTCAGTCTGTCATGGATTTGAAAGGGAACCCATAGCCATCCAACGATCCCGACGAGAGGAACCCCCATGCACTGTCACAGGGAGGAGGCTCTGGGGGTGGGAGGTTGGGTTTTTAGGAGCATGTTCCAAAAGGTGAACCTGGCCTTTAACTGTAGCATGGTGTCATCCTCATAGCTGTATTATGTAAATCTCCGGCCTGGGTGGACAGCATTTTATATCCTTTTAAAAGGTCATTTTTTGGGGGTTTCATCTGTGTATTTAGGTGTACAGTGGGTATAGAAAAGAATTGCCCCCTTTAAAATAATCACATTTTGTTGCTTTGTAGCCGGAAATGAAGACACTTTTTTTGTTTTATCCAGCTGTATTTACTCAGTGCAACTTATAACTGCCAAGTGAAAGATATAACACAAACATGTCAGAAAATAAAATAAAAAATTCAAGAACAGAATCACGGAGTTAGAAAACGGGTCACCCCTTTGTGTCAGTATTTTGTTGAACCACCTTTTGCTTTAATTACAGCCTTAGCTTGTTGGGCTACGTCTCTATTAACTTTGCACATCTAGACTTTGCAGCATTTGCCCACTCTTCTTTGGAGAACTGCTCAAGTTCAGTTGAATTTGATGGTAACTTTTTGTGGAATGCAGTCTTCAAGTCATTCCACACATTTTCAATGGGGTTCAAGTATGGACTCTGAGTAGGCCATGCAAAGACACTTACTTTTTTTTTTTTTTTCCTTCAACCACTGTGTGGTCATTTTCTCTGTGTGTTTTGAGTCATTGTCATGTTGGAAGGTAAATGTTCTTCCCATTGACAACTTTCTGGCAGAGGGCAGCAGATTTTCCCCAAGAATTTGACAGTATTTTGCCCCATCCATTTTTCCTGCTATCCTGACAAGTGCTCCAGTATCTGCTGCAGGAACAACCCCCCCCCACCCCCCATAACAGGATATTACCACCTCCATGCTTTACTGTAGGAATGGTGTTATTTGGATATTGAGTTGTATTGGATTTCGGCCAGACATAGCGTCAGCTTTTTCCTTGTCGCCTCAGAATCTCCAAAGTGCATTTTGCTAAAGCTCAGTGGTGACTGCATGTGGCCTTTTCTTAAGGAGTGGCTTTTTTCTTGCAACTCACCCCTACAAGCCACATTTGTGGAGAATTTGGGATATTGTTGTCACATGCACACAATGACCACTCTTTGTCATAAACTCCTACACCTGCTTTAGAGTTTATGTAGGTCTCTTGATAGCCTCTCTGCCCAGTTTCCTCCTGGCTCTTTCATCCAGTTTGGATACAGTAATGTCCCAAATAACATCCACTTCCTAATAATAGACTTCCCTGTGCTTCTAGGCATTGATAAAGCCTTCAAATTGTTTTGTATTCAACTCCTGACTTGTGCCTGTCCAGTTTTATATTGGAGATCTTTTGAAAGTGCCTTGCCACCCATAGTTGATTGATTGCTTCAGTTGCACTATCAGGGACTGAAATGCTCCAGGAAAGCTCTTTTTATGCTGAGCTAATCAAAATGACCACAGCTGATCACAGTTGAAAGTCAAATGGCTTTGTGTGGCATTGAGAATGTGATTAGCTACACCTGATTGAGTTTACAAGTCATTTTTAGGAGGGGGTGATCCTTTTTTCCAATTCAGTGTTTCTGTTTTTGAATTTTTTTTTTCTGACACGTTGGTGTTAGATCTTTCACTTGGATGTTATAAGTTGCAGTGAGTAAATAGAGTTGGATAAAACAAAAACTGTCTGTTTTCATTTCACGCTACAAAGAAACAAAATATGATTATTTTAAAGGGGGGTGATTCTTCTATATCCACTGTATGCCTGGACTGCAGCTTTTGTATAGCTGATATGTCTGTAGGCGTATTATACAAATACTTGATTTTCTTAAGTGTTGACATATGGAATAATAGCATAAAAAAATGTGTGTGGCATCCAGGGAGTGGCCACAGTCTGGGAAACATGGCCGTGGTTGATCTTAGACAGTTGCCAGTACTGCTGATCTTTAATGAGAAGAATGACATACTGGTATCTGCTTGTGTGCCTTTTGCTGTATTGGATTCAGTAAATGCCTTTTTTATTTTTTATAAAGATGTAATAGCAAGCAGTATGTATGATTATTCTAAAATGCCTATAGTCATCTATGGACAGCTTATGGGTAGACAAAATCTAGCCATACACTGCTTGAATTTCAGTGGATTCCTGCTGAATTTGCTGAGGTTCAAGCTATCGGTGACACTGTCTGCACCACCCTCCTCAACAAAAGTTGATTTAAAAAATCATCTGGGCTAGGTGGAAAATTTACTGGCCGAACAATGATCTACATCCAATCCGATAAAGCCATTGTTGGGGTATTCAGGCACCTGTGGATGCTATGGCTGTCTGAAAGCAATAGCTGGCAGGGGAGAGTCCTCCATCCACACTATTATGTTTGGATAAGGAATCATTTGATTTCTCTCATTCAGCTCATAGGGTAAAAACCATATATTGCTTGCCCACGTTTAGCTATTATGATTTTGGCAGTTTAGTTTTATAATATTTTGGGTAAGGGATGGATAGCAGGATCATCATAAGCTTCTACTGTACCAGTTTCAATGTTCATTGTTAAGGGTGCATTCACACCTGCAAATTCACCTGCACTCCCAACTATATTGGAGAACCCCTAGCAGGGGTTCCTGTGATTAGCTGTGGAAGGCATTCCCATTGAAAGAAATGGGAGGCTGCCAGCTCCTGTAGCTGATTAGGAGTACTTGCATGTAATCATTCATGCAGCGATCACATGCAGGCAGTCTACGTCTAGGTCCAGTCACTCACATATGACCACTGCTTGACCCCCTGCTATGGTTTTTGCATCTGATTGGAGTGTTTAATGTTTGTGACTCATGATTACCTCATGCTGTTTTTTTTGTGTTTTTTTCTTTTTTTTTTAGTCTTGGCCCCTCAGGAAAATGCATTTGTTAAGGCCTTGAAGAAACTTCCAATTCTTCATGATGAGCAATACGCCCAGCAGACCAAGCTGTATGACTTCCACGAGTTCCCAGAAATCACATTGGTTCTCCCGTATGTAATGTTTAATGTTCATTTTGTCTGATATGTAAGAATGTTATCTGGATATAGTATAGATAGGACAAGAGGGGGTGATGGCTTCGCCGTAAAGAAATATTCCAGGCATGATATATATATTTTATATAATTACATTGGTTCAGCTTGCACCAATGTAACTGCCTATACCATAACTAGCCAATGTCCCTGGAAACTATAAATCACTGAAGTGAGCACCACTACTTCAGCAATTTCTAATTGTTTCCAGGTCCCATGCTGAGATTCCTGCCTGATGCATTGTGAATAGAGGAAGTCATCCGCTCCACACGGGTGCCATTCAGAAAATGCTTTGCATTAAAAACTTAAAGCTGATTTCTGTGTTACCTTTCAATTTAAATAGTTTGTTTGGACCAAGCTGATAAAAACGATTTCCTTCACTAAGTGCTGCAGTGTCTCTAAGAACTGTGTGTAGCTTCAGCTACATACAGTGCTGGGTTCCGGCTGTGAGACACAGAGACTTCCCGTCCGACACCCAGAACAATCCAGAGTCGGTCTGAGCAGCGCCGAGCCATTCATAGGCAGCTTCAGCGGATGAGCGGGGCCTAGCCCAGAAGCCAAAGAAAGTCAGACTGAATTAGAGGTTCATGAAGATAGCTAATTATAATAGGACACCTTGCAGTGCTTGCTCTTATGTCTATCACTTAAAAATTCACCTGCCATGAGACAGATATGTAGGCTGCAATTGCTGACCTCCACCACTTACCATTCCATCATCCCATGTCTTGAAATGCCACTGCCTTACTGCTTCCTAGTTGTTGCAAGTAAACCACACTTCATGCGCAGAACACCTGCTCTCTAGCCGTCCGCTGTGGTTCTCTGCTTCTAGCGCATGCCTCACTACAAGACATGTAAGCTAGCAGGAGATGTCGCTACGAATAACAGGTAAACCAGTATTCAACCCAATCAAAGCAGCATTTTAAGACATGGAGAACTGAAAAAGTAAGTATTTTTTCCCTCTTCCTGAAGCAGGGATGGGGTTATGATACAGGAGACCCTGGGTTGACAAGGGTCACTTGAATATACTAGACTCAATGACCATTACGCTGACTTCTCAGAAGAACTTTTGACTCTCTTCTCACTTTGCGTACTTGTCCTTTGTCAGTGACTCTGAGAATATTTATACCATAGGATCAGAATAAGAGAAGGAGAGGGGTACCATTAAGGCTATGTACAGTGGTCTTGAACACGTTTTCTTATAACGATCAGAAATAAAGTAAATGTAAAAATGTTTTTTCTTTAACGCAAATCTTGCACAAAAATGAAAGTCCACTTCTTTTCTCCTGCCCTCACATGTTTAAAGTGGCACTAAACTTTGGTTTAAAGCGAATTATGTCCAATTATGTGTTTTTAACTCAAAAACATACCTTCTTTTGCTCTCATCCCCCTCCTAATCTCCAAACTTTCAAACTTTTTTTTTTTTGAATTGCTGTTATCTGACTTCGTATTAGAAGGTGGCTACATTTGTTCTTCTTGGTTCTGCTCTGTGTAGGAACATAGCCTCCCTTCTCTTGCCTACTTCTGAGATGGACTAGGGTCTATGGGATTTGTAATGTGCTCATTCCAAACAAGTGGAAGTGAGGGGGGTTAAAAGGAGAGGTTTGGAAGCTCACAGAGGATGTTACAAGGCGAAAGACACAGTAAGAAACTATTTTATGAAAAGCAGATTACAGGGCCATTGAGTAGTGGATGTATATGGATTATTTTTGGAGAATAAGGATATTTATATAAATAAGACCTTTAGAGAGAAAAGGCAAATTTGCAGATTTGCTTCAGCCCGGCATCTGCCTGCTGCCCCTAAATGAGGGTGACTATACTGTCCTAGGGAATGCTGAGTAGCCCAAATCTTGATGCTGGAGCATCACCTCATATTATTATTTGAGCAATTCAGCAATCCAGTGGATCTTGTCGGAAGCAGCTTAAAAGAAACTCCTGCAGTATGTATGTCCGGGTAGGGTAAATCTATTCAATTCTTTTTTTCTTTTAGATTTTTGGGGTTTTTTTTTATTGCAGTGTTTCATCCTGAGGGGAGACAAGATAAATAATCAGACTTTTCTCATAGTTGCAAATGAAATAACACGTGAATATTTTGTGTTCTCATTTTCAACCAGCAGCTAAAGCTTTTAGACAGCTTTTTACATTTTCCAAGCTGTCCAAATCTGCCAGTTGGTTATAGAGCTTAATAGCTCAAATCTAAATTTATGCAAAAGTGATTTAAGTCAAAGCAGCAACATCTTCCGGGTGTGCGAGTCAGCAGGGTTGATTTACTAAGGGCAAATAGACTTTTCACTTTGCAAGGGAATTCTTCCCAAAGCTTAGCGGATGGGGTGAAGTTCTGCTAATTTCCATCATCCACTCATTTGCTATGTTCTTGTATACAATTGGGTATTCTTTGCAAAGTGAAATTTTACCATATTCCCTAAGCTGTGGTGAAAATTATCTCGTAAAGTACATCTGTCTTTGCAAAATAAACAGCTTATTTGCCTTTAGTAAATCAACTCAAGTGAGACTGAAATATGCTATGCCGTCTCCTCAGAAAAACCACAGTGCTCTGGGGTTCCTTTTGTCCTATATGAAATATTTATATTTAAGACAAAGCAGAACTACTGTATAATAGAGTTTAATCAAATCTTCTGCTTGAAGGAATGATGGTTGTTTACATGTCATTTAAAATACATACTTGGCTTACAGTCTGACAGTCCTGGATTTATTGGCTTTTACTGTAATCTGCCTGCAACCAGTTATATAGTAAATGACCTTTGCACCAAGCCTAGGTTTTACATTATCCTTATTATACATGCAGGGAAAGAATTTGTCTCCCATGAGCTAGGTTATGGGGAATACCCTCCATATTTCTTCCACTTCAGGGGCTTTTTTTAGCGATGCAGCACTGCTTCTCTGGCTCAGCCTCGGGGGTCACACAAGGTCTCTCGACCCGGGGGTTGCATTATTCAGATGTGGAGCATTTTTTTTTCTTTTCTTTTGTTAAATCAAAATCGTAGTAAATCTGTCACAAAACTTAGATGTCTAACATATAATGAAGCAGAAGAAAGCAGGGGCTACCTTTTGGTCACAACAGCATATTAAAACCAATACAGCGATAAAGGCAATAATCAAATATTGACTTTTCCAGTAAAGGTAGAGATTGGCTCACAATGCCCTGAGCCTACCTGTTTGATTATTTAGGGCTTGTGGGGGTGCCTACCGTTTAGGCACATACAACCTATCAATAAAAAGGCCTCACATGTGACACTGCATACTGTATCAGAAAAAAAGCCATGATGTCAAAGAAACTGCTCTGCAGAGCTCAGAGACAGGATTTTTTGCAAGGTACAAATTTGAGAAGGCTACAAAAAAATTTCTATTGCACTAGAAGGTTCACAAGAGCCCATGACCTTCATAATTTCTCAAATGGAAGAAATTTGGCGGCAACCATGACTCTTCCCAAGAACTGGTCGCCCGGCCCAATCTGAGCAAACGGACAGGAGGGTCTTCGTAAGAGAGGTTGAGGTGGCAGATTATTGTTTTACAATCACTTGAGTCACACCTTTTTTTCCATTGCAACTAAGTATTCTATAGATGTGGTCAAATATGACATAAATCGATTTGGAAAGGAATTCAAAAGAGTATTGACCAAAGCATTGACCTACTTATTTGACAATATTTTGCATATGTACGCACAACAATTTTTTTCTGCTTAGCTTGTACATTATAAAAATGCCAATAAAAAGGTTGAAATACAATTGCCTCCAGTCCTTAGCTTATGAACAGCCAATCAAATCCGTATTACAAAGCCAATCACCAATCCATGGAGCGAGTTTGACGTGTTATTCCTTACCCAGTGGTAACTGCTATCGAATTTTCCATACTTAGGATAACTTAAGTGTGGAGGGGTGCCCTAAAGCAGCGCCTTATAATGCTTTGTACAGCGCAATTTGACAAATTTATAAGAAATATTATCTCTTGGAGGCCCTAAACTCCTGAAAATGTACTGCACAGCAATTAAAGTTTAGATTTAATTTTATCTGCCAAAAAACGGTCATTTTTTTTTATATTAAAGCAAATTTTCCTCATTTTAAATGAAGCTTTTGAAAAAAACATTTTAAAGCTGAGATTCTTCATAGATAATTTAATTTAAAGCCAGAAAAAAAGGACCCAAGTGATCATGGCAACAGCTGTAAAGTACATTGTTAGTTTTGACAACACGAAGTGCAAAAAAGATCTGGATGGGGAGAGCAGCTTGAAGCCTCCTATAGTAGAATATGCAAAGGAGATCATATAGTACATCACGCGGCGCTAAAACAAAAATGATGCTGTGATCTCTTTGTTTATATATCTAGATGTTGTCTTCTTTTCCAGCTCTCTAAGCAAAACAAAAGGATTGTGTACTCTATCGTAGAATATTCTCCTCTTCTTGATTCCTGTAATCAATGACGACTGATGACTGGGCCAAGATTGCCAAGGATATTCAGATCAGGTATAACAATAAGTACATTTATATAAAAAGCTTCCCTGGCTGTCTCCCCTATTTTTTGCATTTTGGGAACTAATTTTTATTAAGTCTGGGTCCGTCCCATTTTCTTTTAGTCCACAGTGATTGTGACTGTCACTAAACATTTTCTGGTGGCCAATCAATTATTCATGCAATAAAATCAGCAGATTGCCTAGTAAAAACAGTAACACAGTAAAACGCTGCTAGGCATACAATAACCTTTTGATTGCCCTAGATTTTTAACTACTTCTCAGCCAGGGTCATTAAAGCGGAGTTCCATCCAAAAGGGGAAATTCTGCTCTACTGCTTTGTCCCCCTGCTCCCCATTAAGGATTGAGGCACCTCTGAGGAGGCGGGTACCCGAAGTTGACATGTACCCGCTCCCACTTCAGCTGCAATCGCCTAGGCGATAGGAAGCGCCAAGTTGTTTCCTCCCCCTCCTCCCGATCCCTGTAGTCTTCTGGACTTGTGACAGGTCCCAGAAGACTACGGGGCCATTCACAAAGCTCAGCATTTCTCGCGAAAGCATTTGGGCACCCGGTTGTGAAGCCCGTAAATCCCGGTTCACAGCCGGATGCCCCACACTAAATATAGCCCCGTCGCAAGGAGAGAGGAAGGCTGTGCCAGTGAGAAAACCAGCATGGTTGAGGAACCAGCGCTGGACTGCACTCAAGGGACAGGTAAGTGGCTGTATATTTAAAGTCAGCAGCTACAGTATTTTTGTATCTTTCTGACATTTTTTTTTTCCCCAGTGTATAGTTTTAGCACTGGTTCACTGTATTAGTGTCACTGGTACCGCTCAAAGTGTCAGATTTGTCCACTGGCAATACACGCAGTCCTGCGATAAGTCTCGTGATTTGGCCACCAATACTATGTGTAAAAAAAAAAAAAAAAAAAATCCTGTCTACATACCAACCGGTTTTATTTATTTTGTAGATGCTATAAACTTTTGCACAATCCAATCAATTATAGGCTTTTATTGGGATTATTTTTTTTACCAAAAATATGTAGCAGAATACATAATGATGCCAATTTGTCAGTAAAAGTAAGGCAGCGCCAGTATCACAAAATAATGCCCTTGTCATGAAGTGGGGGGGGGGGGTGTAAATCTTCTGAGACCAAGTGGTTAATGCATCTGCATACAGTGTATAAATGCACTCCTGACCCAGATATAAATTTTAGTTGGTATAGTCAGAAGGCTGACGGAAAACCTGCACAATTGTTCCAGGTCGTCATAGAATTTATAGAAGATACTGAAGCCAAAGTGAGTGAGTTAGCGAGTTAGTGATTAAAATGTATCTGTAGACAAATCTGTTAGGGGATCTGACAGGTTTTTTTATAATTGCTCCCTCACCGGGTAATCTCCCTCCTTTTTTATATTTCCAGTGTGACAATAATCGATGGGAACAGGAATGATGAGTAAACGAATACCTTGAACACTAGAGGGAGCTGTAGTAGTGTCATGATAAACAACACAGTAAAACGGACTATACTGATGTATTCAGGAAATATTTACAGTAATTGGTGTATATTTGTGTAAAATTTATTATTCATTCTGACTTGCTCAAGCATCACGTAAATCTAATTTTCGAATACCTACACCACAGGAATCAACGGGCACAGATGATTGTAAGAAAGTTAAAATTTTAATTAACAGAGAAAGCCTCTCACTTAAGTAGCAGTAACAGGATTATGATTACATAGTAAGACTTACCTTTAACACACAACAAATCAAGATGGCTATATGTTATACATTAGCTAAAATAAAAAGTATGCTTGCGTTCCGTTATTTGTTATTGGCATTTGGCCCTAGTTATCACTGGCACATGCTCCCTTTCACCCTTCCTCTTCTCTCTTCTCACACGTCTCTCTCTACCCTTCCCTTCAGCTCTCTCCTTCTCACTCTCTACCCATCCCACCCGTCTCTCTCTCTCTCTCTACTCACTCCAATTCCCTCCCTTCTCTCTCTCTCATCTCACACATCCCATCCCACCCTTCTCTCTCTCATCACTCCATCCCTCCCTTCTCTCCTCCCCCCCTCTCTCTCGCCTTCTCTCACTTTCTCTCCTCTCACTCCCTATCCCTCCCTAACTCTCTCTCTCTCTCACTCCCCCTTCCCTCCCTTCACTATTCTCTCACTCACCCCTTCCATCCCGTACTCTCTCCGGGGGGGGGTCTCACCCCCTTTCCTTCCCCCCCACACGCCTTCTCTCTCCTCCTCTCGCTCCCCCTTCCCTTCCCTTCTCTCTCTCTCTCGTTCCCATACTCCCCTCCCTTCTCTCTCTCAACCTCCCTTCCTCCCTTTTCTCTCTCTCTCCTCTCTCTCTCTCTCTCCCTCCCTTCACTCTCTCTCTCTCGCCCCTCCCTTCTCCTCTCTCTCTCTCCCTTCTCTCTCTCTCTCTCTCTCCTCCGCCTCGTCTCATCTCTATCTCGGCTACCGTCGCCTCTCTCTCTCTTCTCTCTCTCACTCTCCTCCCTTCACTTCTCTCTCTCCTCTCTCTTCCCACCCTTTCTCGCTCTCCTCAATTCTTCCCTCCCTTCTCTCCCCCCCCTAAATACTCCTCTCTTCTCTCTCTCCCTCCCCTCCCTTCGCCCCTCTTTCTCCGCTCACAGTCCTCCCTTCTCCCCCCCCCATCCCTTCTTCTCTCCTCCCTTCTCCCTCACTCTCCCCACCTACCTCCCTTCTCTCTCCTCCCATTCTCCCCACCCTCCCTTCTCTCTCTCTTCTCTCTCTTCTCCCCTCCCCTCCCTTCTCTCTCTTGTCTCTCTCTCCCTCCCCCTCCCTCCTCTCTCTTTCTCTCTCATCCCTCTCATCCCTTCTCTCTCTCTCTCCCCCCCCCCTCCCCCTTCCTTCTCCTCTCTTTCTCTCCCTCTCTCCCCTCCCTTCTCTCTCTTTCTCTCTTCTCCCCTCCCTTCCCCGCCTTCTCTCTCTTTCTCTCCCTCCACCCCTCCCATCCCTTCACTCTCTTTCTCTCCCAGAAACCCTTCTCTCCCTCTTCTCTCCCTCCCTCCCACCCCTTCTCCTCTTCTCTCCCTCCTCCCCTCTCCCTTACTCTCTCTCTCCCTCCCTCTCCCTCCCTTCTCCCTCTCACTCCCCCTCCCCTCCTCCTCCCTCCGTCTCTCTCCTCTCTCTCTCTCTCGCGTCCTCTTCTCTCCTCTCTCTCTCTCTCTCTCTCTTCAACCCACCCCCCCCTCTCTCCCTGCCACTCTCCTCTCCTCCCTCCCTTTCTCTCTCTCCTCCAACTCCCTCCCCTCCCTTTCTCTCCCTCACCGTACCTTTCTCTCCCTCCCCTCCTTTTCTCTCTCTCTCTTCTCCCCCCTCCCTTCCCTCTCGATCTCTCTCATCTCCTCACCTACCCTTCTCTCTCTCGTCCCCCTCCCCTCCCTTCTCTCTCCCTCCCCTCCCTTCTCTCTTCCCCTCCCCTCCCTTCTCTCTCCCTTCCACTCCCTATCCCTCTCTCCCTCCTCCCTTATCCCTCCTCCCCTCCCTCCCTTATCTCTCCCTCCTTCCCACCCTTAATCTCTCTCTCCTCCCCCCCCACCCCCCCTGCCCCTCCCCCGCCCCCCACCCTCCCGCGCGCCCCGCTCTCTCTTCCCTCCCCCCGCCCCCTCTCTCCCCTCCCCCCCCCTCCCCCCCCCTCCCGCACCTCATAAACTTCCTCCCCTCCCACCCTCTCTCCCCCCACTCCCTCCTCCCCCAACCATCTCTCTCTCCTCCCTCTCTCTCCCTCCCCCTGTACTCCCGCCGCCCCCTCCTCAACCCCCTCAACCCCCCCCTCCCCTCTCCCCACCTCTTTCCACAACACCTGCTCTCTCTCTCTCTCCTCCCCTCTCCTCAGCCCCTCTCCCCGGGCCCGCCTCCCCCCCAGACCACTCCCCCTCTCACTAGCACCATTCTCCCGGCCCATCACTATCCCTCTTCTCTCTCTCCCCTCCCCCCCCCCCCACACCCTCCCTCCCGCTGCACCCCTTCCCTTATCTCTCCCTCCCGCCCCATTCCTCCCACCCTTAATCTCTCTCTCTCTCTCTCTCATTCCCCCAACCCCCTATTCTATCTATCTCGTCCCCATCCCCCAGCAAAATCCCTCCCTTATCCCTCTCTCCCCTATCACTCTTCCCTCCCTCCCTTTAATCCCTCTCTCTCTACTTGCTTCCCTCCCTTCACTTCCCCTCTCTCTCTCACTTCCCTCCCCTTATCTCTCTCTCTCTCTCCTTCCCTTTTTTGCTTCTCTCCCCCCACCCTTTTTTTCTTCTCTCCCCCCCCCCCCCCAATTCTTTCTCTGTCTCTCCACTTCCCCCTTCCTTCCCCCCTTCCCTTTTTTCCTTCCCCCATTCTTTCTCTTTCTCCCTCTCTTCCTTCCTTATTTCCCTCCCCTTCCTTCCTGCCTTCTTGAAGCTGTTTAGTCGTACCATCTCTAATAAAAGGAGACTGATATACCATGATCTCCAGCTACTGTTATGAATTACCACATCATTTAATGCATCCACCAAATCCACTGGATGTAGAGAGACGACAACTGACACCAGTCAGTGATCCGCACTCTAATATGAGTTCTCTCCTGATCTGCATCCTTTGCTCTGGGTTTAGAGCCTAAAAAAGTACTAAAGCCACTGGATCCAAGTGATGGTCAGTCAGCCAGCATTTTAGGGGAGGACAGTAGTTGCAGCCTCCATGTACGCTCCATTTTATATTTCCTTTCAGAGCTTTTCTTCAAAGGGAGGTAAAAAAGGAAAAATCCTTTTAGGTAGGAGCATTATACTTCAATCTATAAATTTTTTAAAATCCACTTTAACCCTCCTCTGTACTCTAAGATGTGTTAGAGTACTTTTGTGTGAGAGATAGTCACCCAAGGTTTCCCTCCAAGCCTTGCACTGCATTAATGTGGAGTTCTTGTATTGATTTCTTTGTTTAGCTCGAACTAAGTTGTCAGACGCTGCTTTTGGAACAAGGGTTTCAAGGTTGCACGCTGGGCCTTTTTTTGACAGAATAGTTTTAATGGATTTCTTACTCTGGGTTTTCAACCAGTGTAACATGTATAGCAGGGGCACTGCTTAGAGTGAAGTCCTTGAACGGAATTGATTTTTAACAAGTAAATGAAACAAAAAAATTAAAAAGTATTAAAAAACATTTCCCTTACGTTCATTGACGGACACAGCTTTTCTATTCTTGACCATGGGTTATATCCACCACCCCACAAGGGTGGGAGGCACATATGCAAACTGTTGTAATTCCAACACCGTCCACACTGATTTGGATGTAAATACCCTCAAATTAAAGCTGACAGTCTGCAGTTAAAGCACATCTTGTTCGTTTCATTTCACTTGACTGTATATATTGTACATTCACATCAGTCCCTAAGCCTCAAGGGGTGTACAATCTAAAGTCCCTAACTCACATTCATATACATTGGCCAATTTAGACAGGACCCAATTAACCTACCAGCATGTCTTTGGAGAGTGGGAGGAAACTGGAGTACCCACGAAGGCACAGGGAGAACATGCAAACTCCAGGCAGGAGGTGCCGTGGCTGGGATTCAAACCAATGACCCTAGTACTGCCAGGCGGAAGTGCTAACCATTTAGCCACTGTGCTGCCCTATTACACTGTTCAACAGGTAAAAAGTTTTGGGCATAAAATTAGCTAATCTTACATAATTTTGGGGTGTTGAAAACGAAAATGACCCTAAAAAATGTTGATTGGCTCTAGTTTCCATGATATATTCACCCATCTAATGACGTAAGCCATTCAAAATTATGATGCAACTTCAGCTGCATATTGCGCAATTGATACTGGTGACCAATAGAAAATTGCATGTATACTGAGATGATGCAATATTAGCCTTTAATTGCATCACTTCACTGCATAAAAGCTGCAGTATCTGTAGCTGATTGTAGTTCGACAGCGTCTTTACATTTCGTTTTATGCTTATATAGGCTACTCAGTAATGCCTCGAACTTGTGTGAATAAAGCAGATAATTTCTGCTATATCTGCGGTGAAATAACTTTTTATCTCACAAAAAAGGAGGATAACAGGAATGATTAAGAAAGCCTACAACTTGTATTTTGGCTGCAAGATAGGAGACCCGGACAAGAGCTGGGCACCACATATATGCTGCAATTCTTGTGGGGTCTGCACTGGAGCAATGGTTGAATGGAAAAAAGGCATCTATGCCTTTTGCTGTGCCAATGATTTGGAGAGAGCCAACAGATCATGTTAGTAATTGTTACTTTTGTATGGTGCCTCCAATTGTAAAAGGGCTAAATAAGAAGAAAAAGTTATCTGTGTACTATCCAAATATTCCATCGGCAATACGTCCAGTTCCTCATGGAGAGGGGCTACCAATTCCTAAAGCACCAGAATCCTTCGTGGTTGAGTCAAGTGAGGAAGAACCTGAAGCGTGTAGTCACGTGCAGTTGTAAGAGATAGCCCTTTCCTCGAATACAAGAGAAAAGCCAAGAGAAGCAAAACCGACACAAACTGAAGACAAAACTAGTGAGAATCCTAAGTATTAAAATGATTCAACTTAGCTTATGGCTATAATTTTTCTTGGTAATCCTATGCAATATATTATGCCATTTAGGCTTTGTTATGTAGTCAATATCACTTGCTTTATATTTGTGGAAAGACATCTATCTATATAATTATTGTGCATTATGTAGTCGTTACGCCTATAGTAGAAAACTTTCCGTTTACAGAAAAACTAGAGCCAATTGACAAATTTCATTGTTATATTTGAACTCAGAATGTGAAATTCATTAAGAAATGGATCCTTTTGTTTCCAAAACTGGCAAAAAATAAAAATTTGTTGAACAGTGTTATTACACTTAATGCACTTTTTTGTATATGTATTTTTAGGTCTTGAACTTATACAAAGTAGTAAGCTGATTTTAGAGGGATGTAAATGTAGTGGGGGGTTAAATATGGGGGCACAAAACATGACATTGAAAACCGAATGTATGAACTCTTTGGAGATTGAATCAGCACTGTGATTAATGCAAAAACATTTTGTGGTTCTGACAGATTCTTATTGCCTTCTGTGTCCTTGATGAAGAGATTCCCCTCACTAGGATAGTAATGATGATTATGATACCTGAACACTAGAGGGCACTGTAGTGTCATGATAAAAACACAAATTGCTGTAGTTCTATATTGTGGAATATTTACAGTAAGGATTATTGTGTAAATGTGTATGTATTCATTCTTTGTCTGGCTGAAGGACTGTTCTCATTTTTTACTCGTGAGAATAATGGGCACAGATGTTGCTGTTTGTATTTTTATTATTTTAATCATCAGAAGAGCTCATGTATTTTGCAGTAAACTGCAGCTACATATTATAAACTATAACTCAAAATTCAAGATGCTCATGATTCATGGCGAGAGGGGAAAAAAAGAGCTCTGCCTAAAATCTAGCCAGTTTTTGTTATGACTTTGTCTAGCTATGGCTCTCTTCTCTCATTCTGACATCCTGAAGTCTTCATTTTCAGAAGTAGTCAGCAGTGTTAACCACCATATTTTCTTTCTACCGGTTCCTTTTAGGTTGCATTCACACTTACGAATGCACTGTGGCCACAATTACCTATGAGAACCCCACAGCGGGTTCCCGCGATTAGCTGCGAGTAGGCAGCCCCATTGAAATCAATGAAAGGCTGCTGGCTCCCCAGTTAATTGCGCCCACTCGTATCTCTAAAGCAATGATTACATGTGATGTGATCAGCCCTGGACACAGGCAGTCTGCATCCAGGGTCATCTGCATGTGATCATAACATGAGCGATTACATACAAGTGAGTGCGATTAGCTGCGAGAGCTTGCAGCCTCCCATTTCTTTCAATGGGGCTTCAGTAGGGTACGTATTTAACTGCAGCTAAACATTGATATAAATGTCCTCATTCTCTTCTCTCTAGAAATATTATGAACACTATGATGGTTTTGTCGTTCTTCATGGTACAGACACCATGGCCTACACTGCATCTGCACTGTCCTTTATGTGCGAAAACTTGGGCAAAACTATTGTGCTGACCGGCTCTCAGGTGCGTTCCATTTTTATTTCTTTTAGTCCAGATTCACACAACTGCTTGTAACATGACTTGCAGTGGCATTCATTTTGAATGGCACTGCGTACACCCTATGGCAGAGCACCTATTTGGTAGTCCATTGTCATGTAGTGTTGGGGGGGGGGGGAAATGGACACAGGCCTAGGTACTTTTCTTTTTTTGGCAGCCCATTCATTTTGAAAGCACTGCTTTAAGACATCCATAACATAATTCAGTGTCTCCCCTTGTAAGAAGCTTCCTGACATTGAACATGTATTTAGATGTTGAGAAGACGTACACTCTCTGGTATCTAGATACTTGTCCTGAGAGAAGCCATAGATTAGAACAGCCATTCCTAAAGTAGAGGGTCTGGCTTCTGTGTGCTCTGTAAACCAAATGACTCAAACACTGCCATTCCTGAATGGGCCAGACAGAGTAAAAGTACATCATCCCAGCATGTGAGAGAGCTATATTTTATAATATTGAAGGAATGTGTTGTCAATAATATGATAGAATAAATGGTTAGGATTGGCTCTGATTTTAGGGTCCTCATAGCAGATAAACATAAGAGAATTCTGCTCCTAAGGAAGAAATTTCTCTACAAACAGCTACTTCCAGTCTAAACCTTGGTACACATGTACCAAAAGTCAGCCAGTTCAGAGAAACCACCCAACTTTCGGTATGTGTGTACAGAAGCTGGTGTGATGACTGGTTTTTGTCAAACAGCCATGCTAGAAAAATAGCATTTGATAAGCATTCTGCAGCCAATGGCTGCATCGCTGATCTGTGTATTCTAACAGGAGGGAATCCCCGCTGTCAGAGTACAATAGCAGGGTGGGGGAAGACCTATGCATCCACATCGCTTGTGTGGATGCAAGGATCCATCCTTTTTGTTTGTTTTTTTTTTCTGTTCATCCTGCTGGTTGATGGGGAGAAAAAAAAACACTGCCTACCCTGCTTAACCACTTGAAGGCCAAACCTATTCTGACACTTTTTTCCTACATGTAAAAAATCTTTTTTTGCTAGAAAACTACTTAGGACCCCCAAACATAATTAATACACACACACACACACACACACACACACACACACACACACACACACACACACACACACACACACACACACACACACACACACACACACACACACACACACACACACAAAAAACGTTTAACCCTCATCGTGGGCATTACGAAAAAAAATATTAATTGCAGTTGTATTGGTCTACAGGCTCAATTCATCATATGCCCGTGTTCTCTGCTGCCAAGGCCAGGCATAGATATGAGAATATAATGCGATTTATGCATTTCAACGACAACACAGTCTGTTTTCCTCTGGGTGAGCCTGAATTTGATTTGCTCCGCAAAATTTGGCTCCTCGTAATTCACCTTAACAACAAATTTCCAGATATGTATACTCCCCAGCAAAATATCTGTGTTGATGAATCCCTGATTAGTTTTTCTGGCTGCCTTGCATTCAAACAATTTCTCACCAGCAAGCGTGCTAGATGTGGGGTCAAAATGTATAAGACTTGAAAAGGGCAACCGGTTATACAAGTAATTTTCAGATTTACGAGGGAAAAGATAGTCATGTGGAGTCCCCCCGGATGTCTAGACTACATGGGGAGCAGTGGCAAGATAGTTTGGGACTTGGTGTCACGCTTTTTACATATGGAGTACCACTTATATGTGGACAATTTTTATACACGTGTACCACTATTTAGACATTTATACAATCTTAGAATTGGCGCATGTGGCACCGTGCAACCTAATTACCAGAGCTTCCCCAACGGCTTGTAAATACCCGACAAAGAGGGAGAAAGCCTGCTTGAAAAATGGTGATGTGTAAGGACAAACGGGATATGGTCTTCCTGTCCTGTCTTCCATTCATGCAGACACGACCATCCAAATTTCCATGGCAGCTGGTGTTGAGAAGCCCCTCTGTGTCCAAGACGATAAGCTTAACATGGGAGGGGTGGACTTCAACGACCAGATAATGAAGCCGTACCTAGTTTCCCGGAGAACCGGACGCTGGTACAAAAAAGTGTCTATTTCAATTGGCTCTTTTTAATGTTTTTGCGCTTTACAAAGCAACTGGATGAAGTGGATCCTTTCTAAAGCTCCAGGAAGAGATCATCACGGCCCTTTTGTATCCAGAAGGTGCTGTGGCCCAAACCCCCCCCCCCCCCCCCCCCAACACAGATGCAGTTAGCCGGCTGCATGAGAGGCATTTTCCCAATGCCATTCCTGGTACCCCAACCCAAAAGACACCCCAAAAAAGATGTGTCTGTAGCAGACACGGAATTAGGTGTGACACCCGCTTTTTTTTGTCCCTCCTGTCTTGGCCAACCTGGTTTCTGCCTCAAGGACTGCTTCTGTCGCTAACATACACTAGTAGACTACAGTAATACCTCGGTTTACAAACGCATTGGTTTGCGAATGAAAATCCTTTGACAAGAATGCCTCTGTTTACTCATTTTTTTCGCAATACAAACTGTATGCAAGTGCTGATTTTTAAATGCAATTGCCGGCCTTTTTTTTTTTTTTTTTTTTTCTCTTTACTATAGCTCACAGAATTACATTTTATAAATTTTGGCGTGGGAGTGCCCCTCAAAATCCATACCAGATTCGAAGGGCTTGATATGGATGGGAGGGGGACCTCACGCCGTTTTTTAATTTATTATGGTGCCAGTTTTTTAATGTAATTACCGCTTTTTTTTTCTTCACTATTTCACTATTTCTTCAGCTCAGAAATTCAGCTGTCACTTTCCCCCCAGCTAAAAGAAAGTTTTCTTTTAGTTTATTTCTCGGAGTTAAGAGAAACAATGTTTCCTTTTAGTTTCTTAAAAGAAACAAAGTTTCCGTTAACTCCGGGAAAATCGACCGCAAAGTCTGTGAGCTGTATTGAAGAAAAAAAAAGCCGGCAAATGCATTTAAAAATCGGCACCAATATACACTTTGTATTGTGAAAAAAAAAATTGAAAACCGAGGCATTATTTTCAGTGGATTTTCATTCATAAACCAAAAATTATGTTAACTGAGGCGTTTGTAAACCGAGGTATTACTATACACTTATTGGGATTTTTTATTTTTTTACCAAAGACATAAAGCAAAATGCAGTTTGGCCTAAATTTATGGTGGAATTTGAGTTTACAGGATATTTTTTTTTATACCAGAAATGAGAAAACATTGTTTGTTTTCAAAATTTTTGGTTTTCTTTCTTTTTGTTTACAGCGCAAAAAATAAAAAACCCAGAGGTGATCAAATACCACCAAAACAAAGCTCTTTGTGTGAAAAAAAAGGACATAAATTTCGTTTTGAGTACAGTATTACATGACCACTCCATTATCAGTTGAAATAGTGCAACGCCAAAAATGGCCTGGTCAGGAAGGGGGGTAAATCCTCTACCGTGCACTTGTCCACGGTACGGCATTAAATTACATGAATTCAGTTAATCCTAGGCAGCACTTTAAAAGTCTTTACAATTTACCACTTTAGATTCACACAGGCGGTCTGGTACTAGGACAAATTGCTTTTGATCTGACATTCACAGTGATGACCCCAGATCTCTCCTTTACCCTCAAAAACATCAGATCAAACAAGATCGGTTTGATCCAATGATTTCCCAAGCCAGTACTGGCTTGTTTACAGCCGGTGAAACCGGAAGTGATGAAATACTTGTTCCAGTTTCTTAGATCATAGAGATGATTGGGGACGTTCAGATCGTCGAACATCTCTATGCTCAGCCTATAGAACCGGTGGAACAGGAGAGCCCGGGAGGAAGAGAACCCTTTCTGCCGCCTGTAAAAGCGATACAGCAACTAGCCGCTAAGTTTCCTTTTACAAAAAAGCTCCATGGCCGAATGAAAAAAAAAAAAAACGGATGATGCCGGTAGCTGCAGGCATCATCCCTGTATAACCTCTCAAACCCCTGCAACTTATGGGTACATCACGGAGGTTGAAGTGGTTAGACGCTAAGTTCACCTTTGGAACATGTTACAGGTAAAACTCAAAAAATTAGAATATCGTGCAAAAGTTCATTTATTTCAGTAATGCAACTTAAAAGGTGAAACTAATATATGAGATAGACTCATTACATGCAAAGCAAGATAGTTCAAGCTGTGGTTTGTCATAATTGTGGTGATTATGGCTTACAGCTCATGAAAACCCCAAATCCACCATCTCAGAAAATTAGAATATTGTGAAAAGGTGCAATATTCTAGTCTCAAGGTGTCCCACTCTAATCAGCTAATTAAGACATAACCCCTGCAAAGGGTTCCTGAGCCTTTAAATGGTCTCTCAGTCTGGTTCAGTAGGAATCACAATCATGGGAAAGACTGCTGACCTGACAGTTGTGTAGAAAACCATCATCGACACCCTCCATAAGGAAGGAAAGCCTCAAAAGGTGTTCCGAAACTGCTGTATCAAAGCATATTAATAGAAAGTTATGTGGAAGGGAAATGTGTGGAAGAAAAAGGTGCACAAGCAGCAGGGATGACTGCAGCCTGGAGAGGATTGTCAGGAAAAGGCCATTCAAAATTGTTGGGGACTTGCACAAGGAGTGGACTGAGGCTGGAGTAAGTGCATCAAGAGCCACCACAAACAGACGGATCCTGGACATGGGCTTCAAATGTCGTATCCCTCTTGTCAAGCCGCTCCTGAACAACAAACAACTCAGAAGCATCTTACCTAGTCTGTTGCTCAGTGGTCTAAAGTCCTCTTTTCTTATGAGAGCAACTTTTGCATCTCATTTGGAAACCAAGGACCCAGAGTATGGAGGAAGAATGGAGAGGAACAAACTGCAAGATGCTTGAAGTCCAGTGTGAAGTTCCCACAGTCTGTGTTGATTTGGGGAGCCATGTCATCTGCTGGTGTTGGTCCACTGTGCTTCATTAAGTCAAGAGTCAACGCAGCCGTCTAACAGAAGATTTTGGAACACTTCATGCTTCCTTCCGCAGATGAGCTTTATGGGGATGCTGACTTCATTTTCCAGCAGGACTTGGCGCCTGCCCACACTGCCAAAAGCACCAAAACCTGGTTTAATGACCGTGGGATTACTGTGCTTGATTGGCCAGCAAACTCGCCAGACCTGAACCCCATTGAGCATCTATGGGGCATTGTCAAGAGAAAGATGAGAGACATGAGACCAAACAATGCAGAAGAGCTGAAGGCCGCTATTGAAGCATCCTGATCTTCCATAATACCTCAGCAGTGCCACAGGCTGATGCCACGCCACGCCGCATTAAGGCAGTAATTGCTGCAAATGGGGCCCAAACCAAGTACTGAGTACATATGCATGCTTATACTTTTCAGAGGTCCGATATTGTTCTATGTACAATCCTTGTATTGATTGCATGGAATATTCTAATTTTTTGAGATTGTGGATTTGGGGTTTTCATGAGCTATAAACCATAATCATCACAATTATGACAAATCACGGCTTGAACTATTTTGCTTTGCATGTAATAAGTCTATCTCATATATTAGTTTCACCTTTTAGGTTGCATTACTGAAATAAATGAACTTTTGCACGATATTCTAATTTTTCGAGTTTCACCTGTATATGTCCCACCTAAATTTGGAGTGGAACATGTAACATGTTCCAGCTCCTGCCTTTTCTCTCAGCGATTCCCCTCCCTGTGGATCTTCTCCCCTCACTCGCTGCCACAATTTAAAAACCGCACGGCCATGCGGCCATGTAATTAATCTACAGAGTTCTATAGATGAATGAGCTACATCTACTGTCTTTCTCTGCAACGGATGGCTTATAGTTCTCAATGAGCTGCGAGGGTGCTGATGAGAACCCTCGTAGTTCATTGATTCTGCCTGCAATTTAGCAATTGCCTGCCCGTATGAGGTATGAGCAGACCGTGTACTGATAGTCTGTAGGAGCCTGGCATTGCACCCATGATCTGATCACAGGTGCAAAGCTTTAGAGGCTCCAGTGTAAAAAATAGTAAATTAACTTTTTTTTTTTGTTTTTTTTTGTTTTTTTTACCTTCAAAAAGATGTGCATTTATGGTCTTCTTTTTTTTTTTTATGGTGACCTTATCATTTGAAGGATACGTTCACCTTTTGTGACATGTTAGAACAGATCGTCCCCCGAAGCCCCCAATCTCCCGTTATAACAGCTAGCGGCGGATCTTCTTCCCCCTCTAGCTGTCACAATTTTTGTGGCTGTTGGTTTGTAGTTCACTGAACTACCATAGCTCTGTGGTAGTTGAGTCTTCCTGTCAGTAAGTATCTGCTTGCCCATATGATGTACTGACACACATATTTACTGACAGGTTTGCAGGAGACCTGCATGGCACCAGCAATCTGCTGATTATTGGTGCAATGCTTTAGAGGCTCCAGAAACATAAAATAATAAAATGCACATTTTTCTTTTTTACCTGCAAAAAAAATGTGCATTTATTAGGTGGAGCTAGCTTTTAAACTGTTTTGTTTGTAAAGACTGTTACAAAGCTTCTGTTACACTAAAAAGCTGAGAACATGGAACAGGAAGCCACCTGTTCTTCAAAGATTTTATAGAAAACAAAAAGAATATACAGATAACCTAAAGTACAAATTTGTGAAGTATAGTTTTCCTTGAAAACCATGTTCTAATTTTTTTCTTTTTTATAACATCCTCTAGGTTCCCATTTATGAGATGCGGAATGATGGCCGTGACAACCTGTTGGGGGCTTTGCTCATTGCTGGGCAGTTTGTTATTCCTGAGGTGAGGATTGGACCATCTGTGAATTAAAAACTTAAATACCATATTAGCTGGAACAACTGTTTTTGAAGGGAAGGTATACATATGCAATCTAAACACTAGGGGGCAGTACAATGCTACAGTCTTCTGCTACTAGCAGTGATTTATGACCGCTTATAATACAAAGTGCATTTTGAAGACATTGTAATAGAAACACAATTGAGAGTTTCACTTGTACTATTGCATGCATGGGAATTAAAACAAAGATGTTTTAATTAAATGTTGCGCAATTAATGTCTTTGAAATCAGCCGTAGTGTCCTGACTTGAAGAATCACATGTGAAGTGAGTGATTCTAACTAAAACCGTGGTAGCAGTTATAGGGGGAAGATCTGTTTCCCCTAAACAATCTGTGGGTACATTAGAATCTTTACATATGCTACGCTGCATATGGGAAACTCAAAGCTCTGGCCATAGAGGATGTCAATCTGCTGAGGCCCCATCTTCAGTCTACTTTAATATTGACCCTTTTCAGTCCTATAGGGGATACTATACCTAAAATAAAAAGCTCAATCTATTCTTCTTCTCAGCTTTTATTTATCTGTTTCCCCATACAGTCAGGTCAATAAATATTGGGACATCGACACAATTCTAACATTTTTGGCTCTATACACCACCACAGTGGATTTGAAATGAAACGATCAAATGAGCTTTAACTGCAGGCTGTCAGCTTTAATTTGAGGGTATTTATATAAACCAAACCAGGTGAACGGTGTAGGAATTACCACAGTTTGCATATGTGCCTCCCACTTGTTAAGGGACCAAAAGTAATGGGACAGAATAATCATAAATCAAACTTTCACTTTTTAATACTTTTTGCAAATCCTTTGCAGTCAATTACAGCCTGAAGTCTGGAATGCATAGACATCACCAGACGCTGGGTTTCATCCCTGGTGATGCTCTGCCAGGCCTCTACTGCAACTGTCTTCAGTTCCTGCATGTTCTTGGGGCATTTTCCCTTCAGTTTTGTCTTCAACAAGTGAAATGCATGCTCAATCGGATTCAGGTCAGGTGATTGACTTGGCCATTGCATAACATTCCACTTCTTTCCCTTAAACTCTTTGGTTGCTTTTGCAGTATACTTTGGGTCATTGTCCATCTGCACTGTGAAGCGGCGTCCAATGAGTTGTGAAGCATTTGGCTGAATATGAGCAGATAATATTCCCGAAACACTTCAGAATTCATCCTGCTGCTTCTGTCAGCAGTCACATCATCAATAAATACAAAAGAACCCGTTCCATTGGCAGCCATACATGCCCACACCATGACACTACCACCACCATGCTTCACTGATGAGGTGGTATGCTTAGGATCATGAGCAGTTCCTTTCCTTCTCAATACTCTTCTCTTCCCATTACTCTGGTACAAGTTGATCTTGGTCTCATCTGTCCATAGGATGTTGTTCCAGAACTGTGAAGGCTTTTTTAGATGTCGTTTGGAAAACTCTAATCTGGTCTTCCTGTTTTTGAGGCTCACCAATGGTTTACATCTTGTGGTAAACCCTCTGTATTCACTCTGGTGATGTCTTCTCTTGATTGTTGACTTTGACACACATACACCTACCTCCTGGAGAGTGTTCTTGATCTGGCCAACTGTTGTGAAGGGTGTTTTCTTCACCAGGGAAAGAATTCTTCGGTCATCCACCACAGTTGTTTTCCGTGGTCACCTGATTTGGATGTAAATACCCTCAAATTAAAGCTGACAGTCTGCAGTTAAAGCACATCTTGTTCGTTTCATTTCAAATCCATTGTGGTGGTGTATAGAGCCAGAAATGTTAGAATTGTGTTGATGTCCCAATATTTATGGACCTGACTGTATCTTCTAAATGAGTATCATGCTTGTTGTACAGTGTAAGCTGCTTTAAAAATAACAAATATTTTCTTTTATTATAGATTGGGTATTCAGTAAGCTTTTCAATTATTTACTTTGTTAAGCTGTAGTGGTAGTTGGGGTCCATGTAATTTATGTTAAGAATCTACCTGACTCCACTGCAGTTAATGGTGGCTTTGAACCCTGGATAGTGCCTTCTCTAATTGGGCTTGGACATCTTCAGCAAATCTGGCTAAACAGGCATGTAGAGCAGAAGTGAGGTTACACACAAACTCTGTTCAAGATGAGCAGTCTGCCAGAGGGGTTTTCACAAGCAATGTGGTTGATTTACAAAAGCTGAAGAGTGCAGCTCTGCATAGAAATCAATCTGCTTCCGGGTTTTATTGGCAAAGCTTAATTGAACAAGCTGAATTTAGAAGCTGATTGGCTACCATATACAGCTGAACCAAATTCTGAGTGCAGCAGTTTTAGTAAATCTCCCCCATTATTTTAGAAATGTTTGTATCTGTGGGTTTCCTTTGGTTGGGCTGTGTTTTTACCAGAATAAGCTACAAACCACAGAATAGTCCATGACTCCACAACTAGTGCTTATTGTCCCCAAATTATATTGCTGTATAGACAGGCCATTTCTTCCTCCACTTTGTGCTCCATGATCGCAGAAATCCACAGTTATGCAAGTGGGTCACATCACCTATTGTCTGTGTTCACCTACAGTTATGGACCAGTAATGCTCATTATTAGGTCTAGAAGAGCGTTTCCCCTTTTGAGGTATGAATAAATTCCAGGAGTTCCTCAGTTGTGGATCTTATCCTTTAATATTCCACCTGATGTATGTCCCTTTAAGAGATATATATGGAGTAAAAACACCTTTAAACCTCCTTTAAACAGTTATCCAGCTTCCCTGCGGCATCAGTGTCACCTGGCTTTCCCACGCGTTTCGTCATGCCCCATGTGACATCAGGGACCTGGTAGGACCTATAAGCACTGGTTGTAGAGTCATTCAGGGGCTAATTGATCATCATATTTAATTTTGTGTATATGTATTCTATTTTGATGTTTTTTGTACAACAAGGGAGTACTGCATAACACGCACTCTATCACTTTATTCCATAGTGCCGGAAAGCATTCGCATGTGAGCATCACTCTCTGCAAATTTGCACAGCTTGATCAGAACACAATAGGATAATTTATTAATCTTGAACAAATATTTGCATTAACTATATTTTGTTAGTGGTAGCACGGAAGTTGCACTCATTTTCATCGAACCGCAGAATAGCTTAGGTGCCAGCTTCAAAAAGCCTTTTTGATATAGGAAAGGGTAAGGGAGACATAGCTACAAGAGTGGCATAGATTGCTTTTGTAAACAGACCCCTATTTGGGAGAAGGGGGCACATCATAGGGCTACTTCAACAGACACCCTCTCATAGCAGTCACCTTGAGCAAGTGTGCTGCAGAAGAGAAGACATACACGATGGGGGATAGGGTGAAGGTATTTTGATGGTTGGGAGGTTAGGTTGCCTGCGGTAATGAGTTGGACATGTTTAGAAAATGAGCAACCTAATGGCAGCCTAACTTCCCAACCATCATAATCCCCGCTCCGTATCTCCCATCATGTATGTCCTCTCTTCTGCAGCACACTTGCTCAAGGTGACTGCTATGAGAAGGTGTCTGTTGAAGTAGCTTCCTGGCTGTTTCTGGGGTTAATGCTTTTAAAATTTCTGACTCTAAACAAGTATAAAGGGAATTCTTGATTCCTGTTTAATGTTCTTAAGCTGATTGCTTGTTCCAGCTCTGAGATTCAAATGTATTGAAACTACCATAAGCTAGGCAACTAGGGTTTTTACCAGGCCAGCAATGTACAGTATTTGTTGGTAAATTTACATTTTGCATTTCTCAACAGATGTCACCAGAAAAGTAATGCTTTTCCAGAATAAGTAGCAATATATAGCACGTATAGGGAGTTTACAGTGCCTGGTAATGTGTATACAGCGTTTAAGGTGGATTAGTGGCATAAGCCATGGTAAACACTACACACAAATGCACAGAGCACAGCATTGCCCAGTTTGTCGGCACCACCACAGCTTGCTGTAGTGAATGTCAAATTTGCTCAGCAACACACAGTTGGGCTGATGGTGTGCGTGTGAAGAACTGATAACTGGCATGCTCACCCTGATTTGTTAGGAGAAGAGGGTTTTTTTTTTGCTTCCCCCTTCCCCCAAACAGACTAGCAATTAACTATTGTAAAGAATAATGAACCTCCCTGGACTGTGTTGAACTTGTACTCTAGTGAGAAACTCATTTGCCTCCAAAATAAGTAGTAAAAAGCATCTCATAGAAAGGCTTGTATAGATCAACCACTATAAACCATATAATAGAAGAATGTATTGTATTTTGATAGAATGAAAATAAAGTATGTCTTTAGTCACAAGATGCCTCTAACTGCTGATTACAAAATGTATTTAGCAGTTTATATTTACTAAAATAATTGCATTTCCATGTTTTGTGTACTGTGAGAGACCAGATATAGGAAATGCAGGGTCTTGGGTTTGGTAAGTTTAAGATGCTTTCTTGTACTGTTACAGTTAACACCTTTCTTCTCATTTACAATACTTCCTATCTATAGTATAACATCTTCATTTTCTAAAGTATGACAGAAATCTAGACAATCCATTAAAGCGGAACTACACTGCATTGCAGATACGCTGTACCAGAAACCAAACGCTCTATTAATTTTTAATATTTATAGCACACTCCCCTATCCATATCTCCATGCTTTGTTTTGTTGAGAAAATCACTTTGAAAACCACCCCTAGCATTTCTAACCACAGCCATCTTAAGTAAGGGCAGATGATTCATGCAGCATTTACTTCCTGGAATCCATCTGCCCTCAGCTCAGGTGTGCAGGCAGAAAGGTGTGTTTAGCTTAGAAAACATCCCCTCCCCTCCTGAAGACTCATGGGATGTATGACATAATTGGTCTAGGCCTGGAAACCGGGAAGTAACTGAAAAAATAAAAAAAAAGTAAAGATAATATACCCTCCTATCTATTTACTAATGTTAGCTGCATAAGAATTAAAAATTTGTCAGTGTTGAGTGAGAGAGTGCAGTTTATATACACAGATGAAATGTGTTTGAACTACCTTACCACCTGTCAAAAGATTTGTAGTCCTGTTGAGCCAATTTTGAGATCGAGGCACCTTGCCAGACAGCACTGCTAGGTTTACAATCTGTTACAGTTAGGCCTTGTTCACACGGGTGCTGAGACCCTTACAGCATGAATGAAGTGTTAAACGTTTAGAACCACCTGCATGCAGGCAGCCTGTGTATTGAAGGAGACACAGCAGCCGTACGGGCATAGCAGCACATGCAAGTTTCAGATCCTTTACTGCATTCGCTAATGCTGGCATGACCTGCCCCTCCAGAAACAGTTCAAAGAAATAAATCACAGTGCAGATTTATTTGGTATCTGTTCATCTGACTGTTTTAATCACTGTCAAAATTCTCAAGCCACTGTGAAGGGGGACGTGTGTTTGGCACTTGAAACTGATGGATTTATTCAACTATGAATCAATTTAATTGTAAAATTTCCTTGGACATTTAGACATTTGTTTGGCTCTCTCATTGAATGGTATATTATGTGGATTCTCAACTCTGAGTCCTTTCCCTGTTCCTGAGGGTGGTCCACGTTTTTTGCATTACTGCTGAACCAGAGCCAGTGTGCTCAGTGACAGCTTCCGCAACCCTTATTAAATCTGAATCCAGCCCCCCCCAAGCTCCACAAAGCAGGGCCCTCCTATTCCTTCTGTACTGAAATGTATTGTACTCTCGCTTATATTGTAAAGCACTGCACAAACTGTTGGCACTATGTATAATAATAATAATATGCACCCTCCTGTGCATGGCTGTTGGACTTGGATGTGCTGCTGTGTCTCCATTTACTTGTAAAGGCTACCTGCATGCAAACATTTTAAAAGCCTCATTTATGGTGTATGTACCTTGGGGCATGTGTGAATGAAGCCGTAAAGTTATGGTGTCACTTAACAGATTAAACTAGAAAGGCTACAATTTCTGGGGAAATTGTGTGAAGTGTTCTTGCCTCCACCAGTAGTCTATAGCTGGAGTGGGCGGAGTAACTGGGTGGAGTGCCTTGAGTAACTGTGAAAAGATTGGACTGGGCAGAGTAACTTTATGGAGTGGGCGGAGTAACTGGGTGGAGTGGGCAGAGTAACTGTTGTGTGGTTGGAGTGGCTGGAGTAACTGTGAAAAGGTTGGACTGGGCAGAGTAACTTTATGGAGTGGGCGGAGTAACTGGGTGGAGTGGGCAGAGTAACTGTTGTGTGGTTGGAGTGGCTGGAGTAACTGTGAAAAGGTTGGACTGGGCAAAGTAACTTTATGGAGTGGGCAGAGTAACTGTGTGGAGTGTTTGGAGTGAGTAAAGATAGTAAACATTACACTAACCAATTGATTGATCAAATTTAAAAAGTGCACATGGCAAGCTTGATAGAGTGAGAAATGCATTTCAACTTTTAATTATTTATATAGCACATTTAATTGCAATGTTGTTTCCCAAAGTGCTTCACAGTTACATTAAAACATACATTTATAAAAACATTAGCAGCATTATCACCTCAAATACTCTCTACTGTAGAAACCTTATTTCCAAATCTTTAACCAGAAGCCGGCCAAACTGTCATGAATTCAAAATTAGATTTCAAATAGGGCAGAGAAGAGCAGTTAAAAACAAACTGCTGCAAATTGCTCTCTTCACTGGCGTCTTCAAATGGTCATAGTTTTAAAAACTATAAATCCTACAGTGAAGAGCTTTATATTGTGAGAATCACAAGACCCAGACCTACATTTTGATGCATAGTATGTCTCTGAAATATTAAAAATGAAGGCACAGTCGCAGTTTAGAAATTGCCCTTCAAATTTGAGGTGGCTAGAGTGGAGTTTCAGTGAATGTCAATGGGCGGTGTGAGTTGCAAACAAATGGTCATATTGTGAAAACTCTCAGGACTATAGCTTAGCTGTGGACATTTTTAGTGGCAGCAGGGATAGCTGAACGTTTTGATATGAGATTTGTGTAGGTGGGCTTGAAAATGAGGGCGTGATGACAGTTTAGAAATCATGTCCTGGTTTTTCAGCTCACACTCTAGCTTTTGTCAGCTCCCACTCTAGTTTTGAACATTCTGCCATTCATTCCTATGGGACCAATTTCACCACAAAAAACAAGGATATTTCGTGAACCATTCCGCAAAACGTTCCACAAAGTAATAGCACACCAATCGGGGGAACAATCCAAACGTTTCGGTATATTACTGTCTATGTAGTGTAAAAACTGTGGGAGGAGTTAGGGTGGTAAATTTGGCTATAATAATAAGAACATATATGTGAGATAACAGTAAGTGGTCTTGCCATGCAAGAACACTTAATAAAAATGTTTATGTTAATAAAGGGACAGGCACCTAGATGTTCCTAGGTGCCTGTGAATGCTATTTGCTTAGATGTTCCTAGGTGCCTGTGAATGCTATTTGCTTAGATCAGCAATGGGCAAACTACGGCCCGGCGGACCTTTTAATCCGGCCCGCGGAGCCTGATACATTGGCTGTCAGGATGTGTGTAGGCAGGGCAGCGTGACGAATGTGAGGGGAGCTAGGCTCCTCTCACAGTCCGCCCTGAAGACCGGAACGGCGCGCGGAACACGGCGAGAGGAACGCGCGGAGCAAAGGTAAGTGAATTGACACAGGGGGGACTTGGCTTACTACTTGGGGGGAATAGTACTGTGGGGGATGAAATACTATATGAGGGATGAATTAATATGGGGGATGAATTACTATAGGGGGGATGAATTACTATATGGGGGATGAATTACAATATGGGGGATGAATTACTATATAGGGGATTAATTACTATGCTTACTATGGGGGAATATTACTATACTTACTATGGATGTCACATACACATCATTCATCTACTCTTGGTCCGGCCCCCGGTCCAATATATGAACCCATTGCGGCCCTCAAGTCAAAAAGTTTGCCCACCCCTGGCTTAGATGTTCCTAGGTGCCTGTGAATGCTATTTGCTTCAATGTCATGTCAATGTTTCACTTCAATACTCAAGAGTCACTGACCTAGTACAAGCGTAGAGGTAAGGAATTCTCTCTGCGAAATATGTTTTGGGTCTCTTACTCACAAATATTGAAGCCTTTCACATCCAGGCAACTAGCAATTAAATTACAGAAGGAGGCTAGCAGTGACTGCCCCATACTCCTTTTCAGGTCAGTTGTCCTTTAAAATTATGAAAAGTAGTAGAGCTCTGATTAGCTGCCAGTGCTTCCCCTTCCAGACCAAGTATTGCTGTGCAGAGGATTACAGGAGGCTGATCTCAAGACAGATTACCTAACTGTCCTACAAAAAAATTGCTCTTTTAATTTTTCTTATAGTTCTCCCTTTGCTATTTAAGGGACTGTAATCGCAATTCTGGTTTCACCCCTTGGTAAGTATCTAAGCCAAGAAAAGCACATGATTCTCTGGTGGTGTGACCCACTAAGGAGTAAAAGAAGGCAAAGATGCCAATCCTGGAGAGGGCCTGCTTTAAAAAAAAACAAAAAAAAAAAACCTAACTGAAAGTTTTTTTTAATTGAAGAGGTATTACACTTGTCTTTCCAGAAACCCATGTCTACTACATTCCCCCCACTCAAGAGCTGTAGCCTTTGTGAGAATGCCTGGGTCCTTTTATTGTCCAGTTCTTTACAAGACATATTAGCAATGTAAGGATCAGAGGCTGGAACCACAGTGTACAGCAAGGTACACTTGCACCTGATACTCCCAGAAATGTCAAATACTGAGCAGACGGATATGGCTGCAGCACTGGAACAGAGGGAAGGTAGTGGACCCAGGCCACCAGAGAGGGAAGTATAATAGTGCCTCTTCTATTGCTGAGAGCTTCCAATAGGATACTTTCATGTGACTGACGGGCAGAATTGTATTTACCGTGAGAAAAACAAGGCGTGTGCCTTGGGTGGCATTTTTTCAGGGGGGAGAGGGGGGCAGCGCTGCCCCTTGTAAGAAGGGATGCTGGTTGTCCTGAGCCTGCCGAGGAGACTCTGAGGGGCACTGGGGCTGGGTGGCAGGCGTTGGCAAAAGAGCAGAGTGAGGGGAGTAGTCGTGAGACTCCTGGGAAGGAGGCTGGTCGTGTGCGGGGGGTTGTGGGGGCCGTGATGTGTAGAGGGTTCGCAGGTGAAGGGGGCTGGTGGGCAGCGGTGTGGGGGGTGGCCTAGGGCAACACAAAACCTAAATACACCACTGCTGACAGGGTGACTATAAACCATTGAATCTGGTCACAAAAAACATTTGTCAGCATATCAGTTTAAAGGAAACCTGCAAAGGGAAAAATACAGCACTAATACTGTAAATTTGAATGAATCTTTCACTGGTTTGGCTATGTTATACCTGAAACCAGTTTTGTCTTCATTTGAATACTGCACATTTGCACTTACACCGGAATAAGATTTTATATTATTGTGACTGTAACCAGGTGCTGTCCCCTTGTACGCAAGGTTGATATATTGTAAGTCTGTACACTGTGAACTGACTGCATTCAAGACTGATATATTGCGAGTCTATACACGGTATAGTTATTGCATATAAGGTTCATAATCACAGCATGTACACATGTTCTGTCTCTCCTCTTGCTTTTCAGGTGTGTCTGTATTTTCATCACAAGCTGTACAGGGGAAACCGGGTGACGAAGGTGGATGCGGGAAGTTTCAATGCCTTCTCTTCTCCCAACTTGCCTCCACTTGCAAACGCTGAAGTTGATATTACAAGTAAGTTGCCCGGCTGCATAATCCCTGTAATTTGTGCCACATGGAAGAGTCTCTGGCTTTCTTCTTTAGGAGTGGAGGCTTAGTGTGATCATTAAACTGGGTTGGTGAGCAGTCCTAAGTCACTTCTGTAACAATGAAAGATTGAGTTTTGTGGCAGAAAAGAGCCTTCATATTTGCCACCCCCATGAAGCTCCCAAAGTTGGATAAAAAAGTTCTTACTATTCTGCTTTGTTCATATCCAGACAGATTGTTCCAGGGATTGCTGAACTCGAGTAATCTTTTTCCTTGCCAGGTCCTGCTCTCCACTTTTAACGTCACTTAGGGGTGTACTCACTTTTGTTGCCAGCGGTTTAGACATTAATGGCTGTGTGTTGAGTTATTTTGCGGGGACAGCAAATTTACACTGTTATACAAGCTGTACACTCACTACTTTACATTGTAGCAAAGTGTCATTTCTTCAGTGTTGTCACATGAAAAGATATAATAAAATATTTACAAAAATGTGAGGGGTGTACTCACTTTTGAGATAGTGTGTGTGTGTGTGTGTTAGGAATGTAAAGATGCCTCATCGTTTGATGAAAATGATCAAACTACAGAGGACTGAATTCAAAGACACCCCAAAAATCAAAGTGAAAAAATGATGCAGCAGGCTAGTCCATTTTGCTGAAATTTCATTGCAGCAACTCAAATGGTATTCAGTAGTTTGTATGGCCCCCACGTGCTTGTAAGCATGCCTGACAACTTCAGGACATGATCCTAATGAGAAGACGGATGGTGTCCTGGGGTATTTCCTCCCAGATCTGGACCAGTACATCACTGAGCTGGACAGCCTGAGGTGCAACCTGGCGACGTTGGGTGGATCGAAACATGATATTCCAGGGGTGTTCTATTGGATTTAGGTCAGGTGAGTGTGGAGGCAATTAAAACGGTAACCATTTTCTTCATCCTCCGGGAACTGCCTGCATAATCTCACCATATGAGGCTGGGCATTGTCGTGCACCAGGAGGAACCCAAAACCTAGTGCACCAGCATAGGATCTAACAGTGGGTCCAAGGATTTCATCCTGATACCTAATGGCAGTCAGGGTGCCATTGTCTAGCCCAGTGGTGGGCAACCTTTTTTTTCAACTGAGCCAAATCTCGCCAAAACCATGATTGAAATTTATTTTGAGAGCCACATTTTTAAAACTGAAAATACATCTCCCATATAGTAATTCATCCCCCATAGTAATTCATCCCCCATATAGTAATTCATCCCCCATAGTGTAATTCATCCCCCATAGTGTAATTCATCCCCCATAGTAATTCATCCCCCATAGTAATTCATCCCCCATATAGTAATTCATCCCCCATATAGTAATTCATCCTCCATATAGTAATTCATCCCCCATAGTAATTCATCCCCCATATAGTAATTCATCCCCCATAGCAATTCATCCCCCATAGCAATTCATCCCCCGTATAGTATTTCATCCCTCGTATAGTATTTCATCCCCCGTATAGTATTTCATCCCCCGTATAGTATTTCATCCCCCATATAGTATTTCATCCCCCATATAGTATTTCATCCCTCATATAGTATTTCATCCCCCATATAGTAATTCATCCCTCATATAGTATTTCATCCCTCATATAGTATTTCATCCCCCCCCATATAGTATTTCATCCCTCATATAGTATTTCATCCCCCCATATAGTATTTCATCCCTCATATAGTATTTCATCCCTCATATAGTAATTCATCCCTCATATAGTATTTCATCCCCCCATATAGTAATTCATCCCTCATATAGTATTTCATCCCCCCATATAGTATTTCATCCCCCCATATAGTATTTCATCCCTCATATAGTAATTCATCCCTCATATAGTATTTCATCCCCCCATATAGTATTTCATCCCCCCATATAGTATTTCATCCCTCATATAGTAATTCATCCCTCATATAGTATTTCATCCCTCATATAGTATTCATCCCTCATATAGTATTTCATCCCCCATATAGTATTTCATCCCCCCATATAGTATTTCATCCCCTCATATAGTATTTCATCCCTCATATAGTATTTCATCCCCCCATATAGTATTTCATCCCTCATACAGTAATTCATCCCTCATATAGTAATTCATCCCCCATATAGTATTTCATCCCTCATATAGTATTTCATCCCCCCATATAGTATTTCATCCCTCATATAGTAATTCATCCCCCCATATAGTATTTCATCCCCCCATATAGTATTTCATCCCCCCATATAGTATTTCATCCCTCATATAGTAATTCATCCCTGATATAGTAATTCATCCCCCATATAGTATTTCATCCCCCCATATAGTATTTCATCCCTCATAAAGTAATTCATCCCTCATATAGTATTTCATCCCCCACAGTACTATTCCCCCCCCCCCTTCTAGTAAGCCAAGTCCCCCGTGTCAATTCACTTACCTTTTGCGTTCCTCTCGCTGTCTTCCCGCGCCGTTCGGGTCTTCAGGGCGGACTGTGAGAGGAGCCTAGCTCCCCTCCCCTCACGTTCGGCACGCTGCCCCGCCTACACACATCCTGACAGCCACATCCGCAAGCCGGATTAAAAGGTCCGCGCGGACTTTTGGGGCTGCCAACCGAGAGGAGGCAGGGGAGCGGCCGACCGAGAGGAGGGAGGGGAGCAGGCGCCCGGCACACAGAAGAGCCGCATTAGACTGGGTAAAGAGCCGCATGTGGCTCGCGAGCCGCGGCTTGCCGACCACTGGTCTAGCCTGTAAAGGTCTGTGCGTCCCTCCCCAGACCATCACTGACCCACCACCTAAACGGTCACCATCACTGACCCACCACGTAAACGGTCTTGCTGAATGATGCTACAGGCAGCATAACGTTCTCCGCGGCTTCTCCAGACCCTTTCACGTCTGTCACATGTGCTCAGAGTGAACCTGCTCTCATGTATGAAAAGCACAGGGTGCCAGTGGCAGGCAGACCTGCCAATGCTGTGTTCAATGGCAAATGCCAGTTGAGCTCTATGGTGCCAGGCAATGAGCACAGGGCCCACTAGAGGACGTCTGGCCCTCTAGCCACCCTCATGAAGTCTTTCTAATTGTTTGGTCAGAGACATTCACCCCCAGTGGCCTGCTGGAGGTCAGTTTGTAGGGCTCTGGCAGTGCTAATCCTGTTTTTCCTTGCACAAAAGAGCAGATACCGGTCCTGCTGATGGGGTAAGGACCTTCTACGGTCCTGTCCAGCTCACCTAGAGTAACTGCCTGTCTCATGGAATCTCCTCCATGCTCTTGAGACTGTGCTGGGAGACACTGCATGCCTGGCAATGGCACAGATTGATATGCCATCTTGGAGGAGGTGGACTGCCTGTGCAACCTCTGTAGGGTCCAGGTACCGCCTCATGCTACCAGTAGTGACACTGACCCTAGCCAAATGCAAAACTTGTGAAAAACAGTGAGAAAGGATAAGTAGGGAAAAAATGTCAGTGGCCTCCGCCTGTAAAACCATTCCTGTTTTGGGAGTTGTCTCATTGTTGCCCATCTAGTGCACCTGTTGTAAATTTCATTAACACCAAAGCAGCTGAAATTGATTAACAACCCCCTCTGCTACTTAACTGACCAGATCAATATCCCAGGAGTTTAATTGCTATATTCTGATTAAAAAGAGTTCCTTTAATTTTTTTTCGAGCAGTGTATATATTTAATATATTGCTGTATGTGACTCCATTGGACACACTTCTTGATCTACTAACACCATCATCTAGACTGGAAGTGTAAGGGAAAATCTTCCCAATGGTAATAACAGACAGCAGTAAGAAAAAAAAAACCTGACAAAGGTTCTAAAACATGTCCTATTACAAAACTGGTGATAAGATTGATTGGAGCTGTACTTTTGAATAAAAATTTTGAAAAAGAGCCATTACTTTATCATAGTTTCTGCTCATACTGTATATTCCAAGAAAGTGTAAGAGTAAGCACTATTTTACAGCCATAATATACTATTACAGATTATAGTTTCATAAGGCACTACAGATCTACAGCTGTAAATTCTCAAGTTGTCTTAAGCTTTTTAAAAATATTAACACTGGTTGTAAACTGTTACATTGGGCATGCATTTGAATTTAAAAGAAAGTGCCTGCATTGCCCATATTAATCATCTAGATTAAAACCGCATTGTCCAGGTGGACAATAAAAAGATATTATCAGGAATACATAACTACATTATATTTTTAAGTACCTAAATCTGTCTTGATGTCAGCCTCACAGCAGTTTTGGGCCAGTGCTGCCTGTCTGTGCCAACAAGGAATATGCAGGTATGAACAGCAGACTGTCAAGAAGACACTGTCTTATGAAGAGTTTTCTGTTGCTTCTTTTTTTAATCACAGACTAATGCAGACCATACATGGGTCAAATTCTGAACAAATTTTCTTTGGGAAAATCGGAAATTTCTTGCATTTTGTAATCTGATGGTGCCACCATTGATTTTGAAATTCGACCAGCCAAGCCTTTAATTTCCATGTTGCTACAGAAAATAATTTTGTCTTTTCTTTCCAGGTCACAGCTCATGCTCATTTCTTTTTTCGATTTACATTTCTCACACAATTCCCCCATCATGGATTAGAAATTTAGCCATTTTCCAAAAAATTTCCAACATGCCCGATCACTCCAATTCGATGGTCGCTCGAAAATCAGCTTTTGCTGTAGCCCACTAGTGGTGCGAAATTTGAACAAAAATTCTTAGAGATTTCTGATAGAACATTCTTTCGGAATTCAACCCATGTATGGCTGGCTTAGGCGTGGGTGGGCAGTGTGGCGATCAAGCTGTATCTCTTAACTGCAACAGAAAACAGCAAAGTCATCAACCTAGATCAGGACTGGCTGGATTTATTAACATTGACAGGTATGTATTCCAAATGAGAATTTAGCTGTTAGTCTGGAGATGAGCTTTTAATGCAGTACTTTATGTTCAATAATAAGTCATGCCACATACTCTTCATCCAATATTTTATATGGAGG